TTATTTGTATTCTGTTGTATTATTTGGGGCGAGAGCATGAGCCCTCACACGTGCACGAAAGTGGCGTCCCTGTGGGTATTTGATAAGTGCACTCTACTATCATAGCACAAGCAGGCGACGATCACCGAAAGTTGCGTAAAGGTTGAGCATCGAGGGAACAAGAAGTGGCCCCTGTGTTCCGCCAAGCGTTCTAAACTGGGCCTAAGGTGTTAGGCACCATCGGCTCTGCCGAATACCGTAGGTTCGTCCTACAAACGCTGCATTTCTGAAGTGTTTTCTTTTTTTTTGTAACTTGTATGTCCGTAATTATGTATTATATTCTGTGCAGTCTGTAAATATAGGTTTTCCTACACTCTAATAAATGTTCTACAACATTTACTTTCTCTTCAAGCGACCAGCAAGTCAATCGTCGTTAGTTGCATAGTGACAGTACGTTACTTGCTCCCATTTTGCAATACCACCCCGCGTTTTTAGTCCCGGGTGCCGAGTGGGGAGAATAGGTTTCTCAACATCCAAACAACCTGAATTTTACTAACATATTGCATTAATTATACCCGTTTTCTTTTTAATGCGAAGCATTTGTCAGCAAACTCCGGTGACTTTGAGCGTATCTATCTATCTATCTATCTATCTATCTATCTATATATATATATATATATATATATATATATATATATATATATATATATATATATATATATATATATATCCACCTACGACTTTTAGTTCTTCTGGGCGTTTCGATATAGGAACCCATATACCAAAATCGGTATCCATAACATGACTGCATGACGAGTTTAAGTGAGTAGTGATAAAATGAAAATCATGACATGTATGTCATGAATGCCATGATTTACTTTTTATGGTCTTGCTACACTTGCGATTGTTTAGTTCACATGACATATTGCAAAACTGGTATGGTATGACATGGCTGCATGGCGAACATTAGTGATTTATCCAAACGTGAAATTCTTGAAATGCATGTCATGTAAGAACATGACTACATGCCACGCTCATGATGCGCTCATAGTCGTTTCGCTAGCTTCACATATACCAAATTTGGTATTACGTGACGCGAACGCAGGACGAACGTAAATGACATGTCCAAAAATTTTTATCATGAAATGCGCGTCATGTAAAATATCACTACATGCTACGCACATAGCACACTCGTGGTCGTTCCGCTAGCTTCACATATACCAAATTTGGTGTTACATGACACAAATGAATGACGAACGTATATGACTGGTTCAAGCATGATAATCATGTCATGTGTGTTATGTCAGAACACGAAAACATACCACACTCATGATGCACTCGTGGCCTTTTTGTTAGCTTCAATATACAAATACATAATTTGGAATTACGTGACGTTAATGGACTACGAAGGTAAATGACAGGTCCAAGCATGATAATCATGAAAAGCGTGTCATGTGAAACATGAATACATGGTACGATCATGGCTTGGTCGTGGCTGTTTAGCCAGTTCCACATATACCAAATTTCGTATCACGTGACGTGAATAGACGACGAAGGTAAATGACACGTCCAAACATGATAATCATAGCATACAAGTCAGGTATGGCATAATTTACATCCACCTTGCAACGTTGGCCTGATTTTAAAAATGACATATGAACCTTCCTCATTCGTTCCTGTCATATCGATTCCTTCTGTACGTGGGATCTGCCCTTTTTTTTCATATGACACAAAGTTCATCTCTAAATGCGCTAAACTAGTGGTCGGTCTCTTCAGAAACAGTTTGGCTACATGATTAAGCATAAGTAAAGGCTGACACCATGCCCTAACTAACTTAAAGTTGTTTACGTTCTGACTTAATCTTTGGGGTTAAATGTCTTTTTTCTTTTGGTGTTTTTTATTGTTTTAGGTTTTACAGGTTGATGGTTCCTTCAACATTGTGTGTGTGTTTGATTGTCGGAGTTGACTGAAACAGTCATCACTGATGGGCTACGAATTATGCGTCTTGATTTTCTTTAATGAATTTATGAAAAAACTCCCTTGGGGATGAAGTTAACAATGCACTATCAGTTAAGGACCACCATGACCTAACTTGGAGTGCTATGAAATATAGTTCAAATAAGGAAGCGCCGGCTGGCTTTAAACAGTATAACAGTGCACCTATAAAGGGTGTTTAAGTTTAGGCTTTATAGCTTTCATTACAGTTCAGCCATGGGAAGTAAATGAAGGCATCTGTGAGCAGGTTATATAGCGGAGAGAATGCAAAGTGAGATTAAAGTATGGTTGTCAGTGTCTGCTCAAACAGCTGCTTGGAAAGTTGAATAATGAATAAGTTATCTTCGCGCTGTGCCTATTTATTTCTTCTCGTTACGTATCTGTGCGCTGCTAAAACTGTCATATTCTTGTGTGCGGTTTATTTCATTAAAATTTAGCAACAGATGTTTTGCTCTAATGTTGCTGAAACTACGACATTGGCGCCCCACATGGCATATGCGGGGTTTGTAAGCCGAGGCGTTTATGTTATTGTTACATCACTATGTACGTATGTCGTTATTCACGGACAGAGGCCAAAAATGTTTTCTGATATCGCTGTCACATTGAAACAGGTCAAGCGTGGCGTGATTATGTTGCCTCTGCATCATCAAGGTCACCATGTTCGTGAACCAGTACGTTATGGGGCAGTGACGACGACGTAAGGTGCAAGCTATCTATTAAGTGTAAATATAGAGTGAATGCATAAACTGTGCCCACAACAAATGTCTCGAAGACTGCGCCAACTGGCCCAAACACATGCCATGCTGAACTCAATGAAGCACGTTTACATTCTTCATTTTGAGATGCATTGGACCAGTTATTGAGCTGGCGCAAAACGTGCACAAGACCAGCTAATTATTTGCGGTCATGGTACTTTTCTTCTTAAAATACGAAATCAATTTAAAGTTCTTTTACATTTATATACATATTTCTATTGTATATATACATTTATATACATTTATATACATAATTCTCGTTAGAGCTGTAGCCAAAGGCTAGTTGTAGGTCTGATGAAGGATAATACCTAGTATATCCTTGATCTTGGGGGAATAGAAAAATACAACAGTTGTAACATTTTAAGTGCGTGAAAAATTGTCAGTTTGATTTCTCAAATAATAAAAAGAAATAAATAAAACAAAAACTAACATACACTCTAGTCCCGACAATAAAGTAGGGGTCACTCACAAGGTACTGTGACATAAAAAAAACTTTAGTGCAAATGTCTATCAAACTTTATTTATCAAGCAAGATGTGTCTAATAAATTGTAAATTGCGTAAATAATGAGTGAAGGAGCAAAACTAGAGAAATGCAACCTGTTCACCACATAGTAACACACCACTATCATGTGCCTGTAATTGCACGAAACGAGCAGAAAACATATATTTCGCATGGAACTTGCGTTCTGCTCCAGCTTTTTGACGATGCCTTCTCACGCGGTCATTACAATAAGAGGTAATTTTTAACGATTTCTTGCTTACGGACATTTCTGATCCTTCCAACGTAGTCTTTGTTTTTTCTCGACAGGACTTCTACATGTACTTCCTCCTCTGACATAGCGGCACTAAGCGGATATTATCTGTCTTCTGGGGATAGCTTCTACGGCGAAAGAGAAATAAAATTGATCCCGCATAAAGTAAAGCTGTGCACTACACAATTCTCCACTGAGGCAGCAGGTGTGAGCGTCGTCCCTGTCGGCTCTGCTCCAGTGCACTGTATGTTCAGGCGCATTGGCTTTTTGGATCCTTCAGGCTCGCAAATGAATGGGAAGACAAAAAAGATACAGCCTCCGTTTGTTCCCGCTTGTTGGGAAAACAGAGAAGCTAATTTGAAATCGATACCCCGCCGAACTGTCGGCGAGTCTGTTTACTTGAAAAACACGTAGAAGGTTAACGCGGCAGAGCTGTAAAAAAAGAAAAAAAGTACGGAGAGAAAATTCTTGTATCCCGATTTCCCAAACGACAAAAAAAGTTTTGTTTTTGTTTCAGGAAATGAGGGATTCGCTGGTTTTCCAGGCACGTGAAAAAAATTCGTTTAAACTAGACGAATTTTTTAGGCTTCAATTGGACTAGTGCGCAGCCTTGCAAAAGAAAGAGTGCTAAATCTGAAGTGTTCCTGGCAGTCGTCGCTTGGCCGACGGAGATCGCGAACTCCAGTTTCACACTTTGGATCAAGCCTTGTCTCCTCTCGATTTTGTTTTTACATTCCACCATTCTCCTGTTGGTCATGCTGAGCTGTGCTTCTACCAGGTCAACTTCCCTGCGGTTTCTTTTTTGTCTTTTTTTTTTGCCTGTTAAGTTGTTGTCCCTGTGCATGTTGCGGAACATATTGTCAATTTAGCCTTGCACATTTAGTCGCTTTTGATACTCTGACAACTTATCTTCATCAATACGTAATCTTACTTTAGGATCAATGATTGTATTCCCCGGAAATTGCTATATGCATGCCTGTATAACAACTTCTAATGCTCAATATAGTGTGGCCTGAGAGACAGTTATTACCCTTCTCGGATGGTTAGGACTCAGGCCGCTGAGGTGTTTTGCCAGTAAACCTGAAGCGGTAGGTTCGTTTCCCGCTCCTAGCGGTTTTAGGCTGATCGAGAAAAAATGCAAGAACAGAGATGCCATTGAGTGAGCATGAAAGGACGCCGAAACTCAATCCATAAGTAGCCACAGTAGTCATGTCATTTATTATTTTGTCCAAATTTGTAGCAACATAAAACCTCACAGGTATTATTAACAAAGGGTTTACTATTTTCGAATAAATGAAACTCTTTTAAATAAGTAAAACTGGAGGGGTAAAAGTCGTAAAAAAATGCCTTTGTTCCAACTGGAAATTTTCGTCACTAAACGGATTGAAAAGTAGCCAATTTGGCGCGAATTGGCCTCCTACGTGAACCTTGTGCAATTACACCAGTGTGATGAGGTTTAGGTGGACCTAGAGGAAGGCACAATGGTCAAAAGTAGCTTATAGATCCTGCGCTGTGAAGTCTTATATTCACATCATGGGGTTGGTTCGTAAAACTAAAAAAATAGCCACAATGGCGTAAAAGTAGCGCAAGAAGACTAAAGACAAGACAGTCAACACACTCACAAATTAAAGTTTGTTTGCTTCAAGAAAAAATATACATCTAAACTTAACGCCCGACTCATGCGCATCGACTTCGTCTTGTCTTCGTTTTTTATTTGCACTACTTCTACGCCATTATGAATCAGTGAAACTAGCCCACCTCAATTTTTTCTTCGAGAACTTTCCACTGCTAGGAGTGATACTAGTGCTACTTAGTGCATTGACTTGCTTATTGTGTAGCGAATTGCACGACAGTGTTTTTGGGTAATCAAGCACAAGAATAATTGGATTCATCCTGATAGAGCTGCAGAATGTACATCTCAGCATATATTTAAAAAAAATTTCTCTTTTTTTTCAAGCACAAGTTTTTGATTGCACAAACAAACGAGCAAAAAACCTCGCATGACCTTGACTCAAAGCAACTTTCAGAACTTCTAAACTGATGCCAGGCATTCTGTAGGGAACAGCAATATACAAATACAAAGATCATGTGTCGCTAAGATTGCGAGCTAAGCACTGCCGAGGTGTTAAGGTTCTGTTCAAATGTTCTGGAAAGGCGCTAAACCGACGGCCAAAGAGTAGGGTCGTCGTTTGCGCTCAGTGATCCGACTTGCTGTGTTGTGAGAATCCAAGACAATCAAGCGGGTAATTCCTTAGCCTCGAGGTGGGCCGATTTCTGGAACTGTGGGCTAAAGCGACCCATTGTTTGTGCTCCCTCTGTGATGCGAAAGCTTTCCCACCTCCTAGATTGTTTTCACTTTCTCGAAGGAGATTCCTGTTTATTCTACGCTTTATTATGTTGCTGCAAAAGAGCGACGGGCTCCTATTATAGCTCGGTGTTTAGCGCTAGGAGTGGCAGCAAGACCACTCGGTGTCGTAACGGGTCTTGCGCAGTCGTAGGTACTTAAGCTGTCTGCTCACGTCTATTTTGTTTGTCTGCCATGATGGTCGTACTTTGTCTTCTAATGTTCGCCATGCTTAGGTTACTATTCTTTGCGCCCCTTGTCGCTCAAAAGTGTGTAAACTTGGAGCACAGTTTGTGTTCTTGATCTCGTCGTCACTTCGGGAAAGTTTCGTGGTACACCGCATTGTGCGCTAGCTGCATCTTTAATACTAGGATAAGTTATAGTGATTTCCCAATAAAATCAAAGTTTTTATATTCATGTATACAATTTACAGGCATTTCCCCATAAGGCGTTGCTCGAAATACAGACACGAACGGTCACGTCTCGCTCATACAAGCACATTGAAATAAGTTGCAGCTGTAATTGTTTTACTGTTGAGCAGCTACTTCGAGTTCATGGCTTATCGTGGACTTGAGATGTATGTGTTCAACTTGCGTGATCTTTCTGGTGGTGTCGCACATTCTGGGAAACTATACAAACAGGTTGATGACATTGGTTGTTTTTCTCTGACTGGTTCTGGACAGCTTATCAAAGCATGTGGAATATTGATCTACCACTAACCGAACCCAACGCAGTGTGCCGCGTTGGAAAGTCTAAGCCTCCTTTAGACGGTAAATGTATGCCTCTACTCATGCCTACGTCAACACGTAGTGCTTCAAAAACGGGAAAGGGAGAGTTCGTAGCTTGAGCTATATGAACGCGTGAATGTGGTCCTATTCTCGCTCGCGTCTCGTTTTCCAAGAAAAGAAGGGGGCAAGTGTGGATTTTGTGCCAGCCCGTACCATCTTTAAGATGTCACAGGCCTCCCACAGTGTGGGAACCGCATATCTTTGTTCCTATTGAATTGTTTGATAATTAAGGACAGAGTATAGTACCGGTCTGCAGGCGCGGTTAAGTTCGCTCACTCGCTTTACTCAGCTCCCCTGCGGGAGCTGGAAAAAAGCGGTGAAAGTCGTGATAATAAGAAATAATTTCTTTGAACCGTTGCACCTGCGTATATGCCTCGATGCCATAAGAGCAGGGTTGATGAGCCTGGAGGTAAGCACTCGGGCGGCAGCGTTGGTGGCCTCATTACCTCGTGAACCCTGATGGCCAGGAGCCCAAAGTATGCGTTTTGGCGGTGGATAAGCGGCAGCCAGTCTTAGAATATGGCTAGCTAAGAAGGATATCTCACCTACTCGTTATTGAGCATACGCTTCTCAGGAATCTTTTAATATCGTCTTTGAATTGCGATTCACGGCAGCAAGCACTATCGTTACTTCCTCAGCCGGCTTTGATCTTTATGCTCGGAAGGAGAGCCCGCTGGCGTAAGTTCCGTAGTGAAATAGAGCGGCCACTTCAAAATGCGTTGCTATGTCTACTTTATATAGGCCACGTCAAGAGCGGGCTATCTTTCAGGCATCCGAGCCCATGATTGTCGCCTGCTTTCGTGCGTGTGCGTGTCCATTTTAGTTAGAGAGCGGAGGGACTCAGAAAACGTGGCGCCAAAGTTCTGCAATACGTTCCGCTTCCTCTGAAGTGCAAGTGTGTTGGATGTGTAAGCAGTTGAGCAGGTGGTGCCCTGTGACGTGTTGGAAGGTGGAGGTCTCTAAGTAATAGGAATACTTACGCCTCTGCTAATGCCTACATCAACCATAGTGCTTCATGAAGGCGAGAAGAAGTGCTCGTGGCTGGAGCCGTGAACACGTGAATGCGTTCCGATTCCGGCCGGAGTCTCTCCCTCGAAAAAGGGACGAGCTATTGGCCACGAGAGGTTCAACGGGAGAGGCCAGCACTGCAATCGTTTTGCCAACACGAGATACTCTTGCTCGCATCACGGCGTATACATGTGAAATGAAACGTTCATGTGAAAATGTGGTGTGTCACGTTGAATTCTCTGCGTGAGAAGCTCGGTTTAGCTTGCTGAAGATATTGTCGCCGTTTAAACAGGGCTGTGTTGTGTGGAAGCAGCTGCAGCTTGCTGGTGTACTGTTCGATGCCTCATTGCCAGATTTATGAGACAGATCCCGCTGTAAGTTTTGACAATTCCCTTGAGTGTATAGAAATGAGCTACATTTGACACGTAGAGTCCAAAATGGGAAACGTTTCCAACGATAACTCACAGGTCTTCAAGAAGAGCTTCAGGGATGAGGATTTAGCGTACGCCGCCGCAGCCAAGATGTTCGGTAACATACGCACAGCTGGCGAGTGCTTACGAGCGCACCCGTACTTAATCAAGGACATTTATTGATGTTAGAGAATGATAAGCTCAGCGCAAGGTAACCAAATAAATAAAAAGAAAAGTACCCATTTGTCAAATATTTCTCCCAGCGAGGTCCTTCAATGGAGATAAAAAAAAAACTGCGAGACAGAAAAGGGCTGAAACAGATAAAGTACAGAGAGAAAAGACGAATGAGATGAGAAGCTGAAATAGAGACAAAGAAAGACATGAAAATAAAGAAAATGAATGTACCAATAGAAAGCTGAAAAAAGAGAGAAAGAGAAGGATCATGATCATAGATGGCGTGTAGTCACGAAAGGATAGGACCACTGGTGAGAAGTTGGCCGGTCCTGGATTGGCCTCGCTTTTAACATCTGACTTCTCTTTCCTACCTTGTGCCCTACTAAACTATAAATGGGTATGCGTGTTTACTTTTTTTCTTTCTGTCTGTGTTTACTTCTTTTTTTTCTCACCAAATTCGCTTCTTTCTCGCTCTTAATCTCTTCCTTTCTCCTTTGCCTTTTTATTTCTTGCTATATAATTCTGTTAATTTCCTTCTCTCTGTTTAGTTGATTTTTTTATCTTTCTCCTTCTGTTTTTCTGTCTTTTTTTGTTGCTTTCCACATCTTTCTCTTTTTTTCTTTGCTATTGTTTATTGTTACCCTTCCCTTTTCCTTCTTGACACCCTCACTTTTAATAATGATTGTGTATAAGGAGAGGTTGTTGCCGTTGCGACAAAGTTAGTACCGATGCGACAGTGGGGCTCGAACCCGGGTCCGCTGGGTTCGAGCCAAGCATTCTTCTACTGAGCCAAGCCCTCACTTCCACTTACCAACTGCTTGCTATAACATACTAAAGGCGATGTTCTGCTGTGCTAGCCCCTTCGGGATTGGGGTTACATGGACTTCATTGACATGAAGCTTCTCTTCTTTGTCGGCTTTTGTTGGAGGTTGCCTTCACAAAAGAATATACAACCCTCACTGAAGTGACCGACAGTGAGGGTTGTATATGAGGGAGACGTCGCGGAGACGCGACGTCTCCGCCAACGAAAAAGACGCACTATCTGCTAAGCCATTGCCCTCGATTTGCCGCTGAGAAACAAAAACTTTCTGGCACGTTGCGACTATTGTGCAATCAGCGACTCACTGTGCAAATGCTGCTGGAGCGCTATGCGCGTACTTCGTCGGCTCATGAGGCAGTCAAAGCCCTCTTGCGCTTTTTGAAGGCTCTTATGTGAACACTATTGCTTTGAGTAGTGCCACGGCTGCATACGGGTCAGCCAATTGACTGGACATTTGTTTTCCTCTTTCTCTTCTCTTTCCGCTCTGTCTCATCTTTATACTCCCTTTTCCATTTCCTCTACATACGGTAGTAAACCAGCCATGGGCCTGGTTAACATCCCTGCCTTCTCTCTTGTTGTTGTTCCTTCCTTCAATTTCAATCTAGGCTGATGAAGATTGTTTTCTCCAGCAATATCTTTCTCGTTTTATATGTTTGTTTTTCTTTCTAACTCTCTTTCTTTTGCTCTGTACTTCAACCATCAGCGTTATCGGACCGCACGTCTTCTGGGAGCGACCTAGAACAGGGCGCAGAGGAAGTTGCTAAAGAAAGCGCTTGCCAGTTCACGATGACGACACTTTTGTAATTACGACACACGACAAACCTCGAGCATGAGAGCAGTAGGGTAAAGAGAAGAAGAAAGAAAGAAAAACTGGACCGGGAGCGAAGCACGCAGTGTTTCCGTGAGGCTCTTGTGGTGCCAAGCATAAAACCGAGGGTGTAGTCGAAGCTGCTTCTGTTTCACTGACGTCGTCGGAATACTGAATCGCAATGCA